TTCTGTTGCTACTGATGCTCTTGCTGTTACTGTTGTTGTTGCTGTTGCTGTTGCTGGCCACCGTCGGTGGTGCATGCCTAAAGTTACTACCGTCGTCGCTGCCGTTGCCGCCGCCGCCGCCGCCGCCGCCGCCGCCGCTGCTGCTGCTGCTGCTGCTGCGGCTGGAGAGCGGCTGCCACCAGAGACTGGGCCGACGGGGTGGGGGCTGGGGGGATAGAGGAGCTGAAGGTGCTGGAGGAGGAGAAGGTGGAGGCACGAGGCCGGCTACGGCTTTTTTCCCACGTCGCAGCCGCTCGCTCCCTCTTTCACCGTCGCCGTCTCACTCGCTCTTGTTCTCTCTCGCTCCCAAGTTGCTGCACCTGTCCTACGGTGTTGGCCGGCGCCCCTCACGTCTCACCGCAGCCGAATTCAGGCCACGAGCGGGCCACGGAGACGGGTCTGTTGCCGCTCTCTCCCTGGGGACAACGCGGGCGTCCGCGCGTCTCTCTCCTCCCGCGACGCCGGGGTGCGCGCGTTCGCGCTCTTGTTCTCTTCCTCCCTCTCTCACCCTCTCTCCCTCTCTCTTTCACTCAATCTATCTCTCTTTATCTCTATCAATCTAATCTCCTCTTTCTTTCTTTCTTTCTTTCTTTTTCTCTTTCTTTCTTTCTCCCGTTCTCACGCACGATCGATACGCGGCAACCAGCTGCGCCGTCGAGGACAGAGAAGGTTCCCACCCTCGTGGTGCTGCTCTTCCCCGAGAGCGGCCTTTCACGAAGGAGGCAAACGATTCCCCCTGTAAATATACGAGGGAGCAACGAGGCAAAAGAGACGAACGGCTACTCGTCCCTCTTTCTCCCTCTCCAGGCGCTCGCGCGCGCGTGTGTAGCCTAGGCCCGTGGTCGCGTTTGTCCCCCTTCAATCTGCCTCACTCACTCTCTCTCTCTCTCTCTCTCTTGTTGTTTCGTTCGATGCCTCGATGGTTAACTAGCGCCTCGAATGCCGCCGGGCAGCTCACTGAAGGATATGTGCCCGCGAGGCGCCTTGTCGAATTGAGTCAACAGTCGACTGTGCAGCTGCGCTCCAGACGACGACGGCGATCCACAACGCACACGAGCCACGGTACAACTAGCAGACCGAGTCGAGTGCACTTTCCGTGAATTCCGTCTGCCTCCGTCAGCGGCGCGCGCGCGCGTCTGACTCTCCTCCCTCCTAGTCATTCTCTCCCACCCTCGCTCTCTCTCTCTCTCTCTCTCTCTCTCTCTCTCTCTCTCTACCTCTACCTCTCTTCAGTAGCTCCCCGTACCACCTGCTCGGCAAACGTCGCCGAGGTCCTAAGACGCGAACGTTACGCAGGCGGGCCGGGACAGCCCGAAAAATGTGCCTCGAGCGCCTTGGCGGCCGAAGGGGCGGTCGAATGCTCGTCCGGAGCGGGGAGGGCAGCAGTGCAAAAGCCCCCGCCAAGGGTGATGGCCGATGCCGCTTACTCGGTCTCTTCTTGCTCATATCAAAGAGACACCGGAGAAGCCGCGTATCGATTCGCCGTAGCCCAGGGTCGACGTGTCACCACGTGACGCCTCCCTTAGCCCAAAACGTTATTGCTCTGCAAATATCAGCTGATTATGGGCTTCTGCTTTTAAACGATCATTTAAATATGGCGGATGTCCCCCCCACCTGTTCCTCATGCCGCTGCGAGCCGCCATCGAGCGGGCGAATTATTAACGATAATCGAGCCGATAAGTGCGGGCGCAAGTGTTATTATTCGTCGATATATAACTCGCGGTGAATCCTCGTTAATTTTGATATCGCCCCGTAAATGTCGGTAACGGCATTATTTACATTATCTTTGTCCGGATTAATCTTACCTCGAGAGACCTATTGGTCGCTCTTCACCATCCCGACAGATTTCTTTGCGATCGTTTGCGCAAATGATGACTTGTAATGCTTTGAACTCCTTTGGCTCTTATTGTTATGTTTGTCTGAAAGTTATCGTCTCCCTCGCATTGCTTATATTGGCTCCAATGGATCGAAGCCAGGAAAAAGGTGAGTGGCTTATTCACTAAATATATTATCGATCGGCAATTATAGTAATCGAATTTTAATTCGAATAGAATAATTCGAATCACAACGGTTGAATAATGGAATTTACCGTTTTATTTACCATACCGTAATTCATTTTTCGCTCATAAAATCAGATAAACCATGGTAATATAATATTTTTTAATGAACATGTTTATTGTAAATATATTGATAAGATACGATGAAATCTTAATATGTAAACTCGTTAACATTTAGATCGATAAATAAATACGGAAAAGTTGATTAATAGAACAAAAATATTTTCCTAACTACTTTTAATCTAAGCTTATATTTCTTTGGCCCACACTTTATAAAATATTACTATTTCTATGCATGTTTAATTAAAAATTTTGAAATTAAAATTAATCATTTTGCAAATATCGTTCTATATTGGTAATTATAAATCTTTTAACGTATCAAAGCTTTTGTACTTAAGTACTGATTTACTCAGTACATTTACTGTCATTTTTACACATTTTAAGTACTGATTTACATTTTTGAAAATGTATAATCTTACAAGTAAGAGACAAAAAATACCTCGAAGCAATTATGGTAAATTAATTAAGACTGTGTTGGATTTTAACTTTATTTTTTAAAAACATATTATGCAAAAGAATTATCAAATTTATACACACACATTGCTTCTGTTTGTTGTAACTGTACGTAAAATGTGAAATTGAAAAACTTAATTATCGCTAAACATTTATAAATTTGCATTTTGATAACATCTAAATATGACACTGCACACAATGTTGATAAAAAGAAAAAAGAGAGAGAGAGAGAGAGAGAGAGAGAGAGAGAGAAAGAAGAAATTCTAAAACAATTTCAAAATGATGAGAAACGGTATAGTTATTGCTACCAACCAAGCTTTTTAATATTTTATCAAATACATTTATTTCTTATTGTCCAGCAATCGTAAATGCATACATATGTTTAAACATATATATTTACAACGAATGTGATCAACACATAACAATTACCATTCCAAATATAAAAACCCTTTAGGCCAAAACGAAGACATTATGACTAAAACAATGAGTAATATTATAATATTATATTATAATATTATAACACCGAGCTACATATATTCTTAAAAATATATCTTGTTTGGCATTTATTGCCGTCGACGGAACGTTATTATGACTTTATAATATCAGCCGCCGTCGATAAGTTACATTAAGAGATTCCGGTGAACCCAACACCAAGAAGCAAAGTTCTTTGAGCTTCGGTGGGAAAGCTCAAGGACAAGAGGCAGCGCTCTCGTAACCAGATGTTCTTACCACCAATATCTGGTTGCGTCTTTCCAAAACTTCGGATCGCCTCGATAATTTCAAAACTTAATTGGCTATCAACTTAAAACATAAATAGACATCCACCGACCGGCTCATACGTTTTGGTCAAAAATTTTTTTTCCGTTAGATTTTTTTTTTTTTTTTTTTTTTTTTTTTTTTTTTTTTGTGATCATCTAACAATGCTCGGAACTGCTTGGTTTAGAGAGTACAAAAACGAGCAAACGACGCTAAGCAAAATAGTTTTCGCTCGCGACTAGCCACGTATGGTTGGCTCGACCATTTTAAATATCGAATATACTCGTGGATGGAATGGATAAGATGCGGTAAGACCCGCAATGCCCATTCATCCGTTTTTTTTGGAGCTATAATTCAAGAGTTCACATGGGTAAAAAGAGATAACGCGATGATCTACGGTAAAACATTATTCCAACTGTTTATCAGCCTTATTCTCGTTTTTATTCCGCACCTTGTATATTAGTAATTACAGTCTTCTTTTTAAGCTCTAATTTACAACTTTTATACAATTTTTCATCCTGATAATACAATTGTAAAAGTAAATATTATTTACAATCTATGATAAAAGTATAAAAGAAAAGTGTGGAGTAGGCAAATGTCAGTGCCATAACCGAGGTTGTAATTAATGGTGAGAAACTCGAGAGAATAAATTAAGACAATTTTTTCGATATTTTTTTCATTTTTGTCCATTGCATCGCGACACCTTATACTTGATTTTATGCGTAATAATTACTTGAAGTGACTTCTCCTTACGAATTATTTTAATTATTTTCGATTCTCGAATCTTGGGGAGATCTAATAATTATTATTTGCTACGCGTCATTGTATTAATGTACCTCGATACAGTAATTCCGAAAAATTCTTCGGAATCTTCGATCGGCTTTTGTTTGAAGTTACGATGTCGTGAAATGTAATTTTTTTCGGATTTCAGAATAACTTTAATTACGCTTTCTACGTATAAACCACTTTACATTCAATCGCGTTAATGACGAACCAAGTGTTTTACACGTAGTGCTGAAAGTCCTTTCAATTTTTATTTGAATTTGAGAATTACGAGTTATGTTGATATTGTTTAACGCATTGCATTGTTTGTAATTTTAAAATAGAAACTGATTTTACCATTTACTGACCTTTCCAATTCTCAAATGAGAACCAAAATACTATGCCACAAACATATGTACAAATGTAAATTTCGTTGAGATGATATTTTCGAAAATAACACTTGAATTTTTAGTTCTAATCTATTAGTTTTCCTTCCATCCCTCGCCAACATTTACAAACACAAGTACCATAAAATAATGAATAATGAATAATGAATAATGAATAATTGAATATATCTACCTTTTTTGTTAATCGCCACTTAACTATAGGCATTCGAAGTCCGAGTTAGGCCAAAAGACGTGACAGACGTATTCGTTGATAAACTTAATGTTCGTTAAAATAAAAAAAAATTATCTACTATTATAAGAAAATGTATATTTCAATTGTAATAGTAAACGTCTTAACAAAGAAAAGCTGAGAAATAATCGCAAGAAGTATAAGCGGATCTAAAGATTCGTTGGTCAAGCGATCGATTCTTTTACTCTATTATTACGTGATGTCCTCCAAATTATTGTTTTTATATTAATCTCTTGTATTCCTTATTTGTTATGAAATAAAAAAATTAATTCGTACTATCAACCGTTTTTGTACGTATCCAAACAACTTCGTTATCTATTATAAAAAAATCTTTTGTACATTCGTAATTTCGAATTAGTTTTTTTTTTTCACATTAAATTAGATAGTAACAAATATGCTATCTATCCATTCTTAAAAATAAATATTCATAAAATATTCATGAATTCATTGAAGCTAAAGATTTATGATCCAAATTCTTCGGTATCTGGTTCGATTGGTTTAAATTCGAAAGAACCTCGTCCGTCCATTTGAAGATAGTACTAAAATTTTTTAAACAAATTAAAAAATTAATTTCAAATTATGTAATTGCAAATATCTTTGAAAAAACTGAAATATTTACCTCGTGATGTTTCCACAGAGATCGTCGATGTGATACGGTGAACAGTGTAATATTAGCTTTTTTGCAATATGAATACATAGAATCTTCGACATCTACACTGACGGCACTCGTGCATTCGTCAAGTATGGCAAACTGAGGCTTATGATAAAATAATCTTGCCATCTATAATATAGAAAACGTTTTGATATTTTATACGTATGTAAACGCGAAGGTAAATAATTTCAAATGAAATAAAAAAAATACCGCAATTCGTTGCTTTTCACCACCGGAAAGTACGTCCATCCAGTCGGCAACAGAATTCCAACCTTGACCTTGACTACCAGGATGCGTTTCACGATCAAGCAAGTGACTTAGTTGTACTAATTCTAAAAACTTTTGCAAGTCCTCGTCGTTTGCGTTGCGTCGCCTTAGCATTTCTGCATGAGTATGCGGATAAATTACTTGATCTCTCAATGTGCCCAAAGTCATGTAAGGTCTTTGTGGAATATAAAATAATTTACCACGCGGTGGCTTAGTCATCACACCACCCCATAGAGGCCACAGCTAAATTATAGAGTAATAATGTTTTAAACAGTTTAAAAATTACATGGCAATGCGATAAAACCTTCAAATTTAATAATACTAACTTCACCCAAAATTCGGAATAATGAACTTTTCCCACAGCCATTTGGTCCACATACTAATACATTAATACCAGATTTCACTTCAAAACTCAGTTCTTTAATAAGAACATCACCGTTGGGAGTTACTAGAGGCACCCGATCAAAGCAAATAATATTATCTTTGGCTAGTATTTTTCCGCCACCTGGTGTCCCAATAGAATCATTTTTAGAATCGGTAACCATTGTTCTCTCATATTTGTTGCTATTTAAATCGTTTAAAACATTTCTGATTTCAGTAACTCGGGCGGTAAATCCTGCTAATCTTGTCATTTCTCTTCCAGCTAGAACTAATCTACCTATTGCTTCGGCTAACTTTACCAACATTCTTCCATATGTGTAGTAGGATTTAAACCTGTGATCCGAAGATCCAGAAAGAGTCGAGTGATTCTTTTGAAAGAATGGAATACTTACAGCATAAAAGCCAACGACGGTAGCTAAATCTACAAAAGAGAAAACAATTACCAGCTTACAGGTGTACAAAATCCTCCTGAAAATTGTGAGCTTTATACTAATATAAATAGATCTTACACTTTCCAATGAAATTATCTACAATGCCTATTAGCACTCTGAATTCTAAAAATTTCCTAAGATGCGTTACCTAAAGAAATATAAAATAAATATATCATACACGTCAATGCTTCTAATTTGCTTCAAAGTTAAAGGGTCACTGTTTACCAGTTTATTAAAGCTAGCCAAGAGTGTTAATTTCTCTCGAGTGTTTCCATAATAAAATGCAATTTCTTCCGAATTAGTTATTAAACGCGAATGAATGTGTCGATATTCTCCTTCGAGTCTTTGTTCTTTAATTGTTAATGCACCAATAGGTTTTCTTAAATGAGTCAAAAAACTGCCAGCAATGACAAGATACAATAACATCAATAGCGGAGTCTGTAATCAATTTTTACAATTAGAGTTTTAATAATACAGTAATGAAAATCGTATTAAATTATTAATAAGTAACTGACTTGACCGCCGAGTGTCGATGTAAGTTTATAAACATAAATAAATATATCTAACAAAGGTTTTGCGATGTTACTGTACAAATCTGTACAGCTTTCGCAAAATTTATCTACATCTGTGGTGAGTAATTGATCAGGATTTGCAATTCTTGTATCTACATTAGTCATTTTGTAATATGTAAAGCCTCTGAAAAATCAAAAATATATTTAACCTTATAGTATAGTATAATTTGAATAAATGCATGTTTGTGACTATATCTACACAAAAGCATTGTTGTAAAGAATATGTATATATAAATAAAAATACATGCGCGTGCGTGTGTGTTTATATATGCATGCATGCGTTTATATATAAATAAATAAATAAATAAATATATATATATATATATATATATATATATATATAATGTGTGTAAATAATGTAAACACGCATGCATCACAAATAAAATGTTTTGTAACCTTTAACCTTTATTGTGTTAAGAATCAAACATTGAATATAGTTTTATTTTGAATTGATAATGAAATTAATGAGGATGTGCATATTTACTGAGTAGCGCATATTTGCACATTTTGCAACCTGTACACCCTCTAAGTATTAATTTTCAATCAAAATGATAAATAATATAACAAAACTTAAACTTACTTCAAATATTGATCTAGTACAAAGGAACTTATGTTAATTCGTAACCTAAGCTTCATTTCTCCAATGCTGTATTTTAAAATGTTATTTACAACGGATATCTAGAATAATAAGCGAGTACATTAAAATGCGAATACTTGCAATAATAATTAAATCACAAATCAAGAAATTGACAAAAAATATGTTTTTGTTCAATAATAATGCCTATAAGAAACGTGACTCTGAGAACAATTACTTGTACGTACCACTGGCAAAGTAGCCATGAACCTTAACAAACGTCTTTTAAACAAATTCGAGTCTCTGCTAACGATTGATCTGAAAGACACGGTTGAGTTAGACGAGTACATTAGTATTTGAAAACAATATCACATCAGCACTTACGTTTCGATGAGAGTGCCGGTGTGAATGAGCCATAAATCGCAGAGGGACCTAGCCATAAGAGAAACAGCGATGAGCAAGATAAATCCGGTCTCGGCTGTAAAGATACCGGGTATGCCAATCGACAGCAACTGGCACAGCTGTTCGAAAAACTCTCTGTTGACATGGGCCTTGGGTCGCTTTGTCTTATCCTGCAATACAAACGGTTGATGTAAGAGAACTAGGTCGAAGACAAGCTCTATCCTCCGTCTCTCTCTCTCTCTCACTCTCTCTCCTAGAAGCTTACCTCCTTGATCACATATTGTATATCACTGTTGGCCGACCAGGAGGAACTCCTACAAATACTCAAGGCATTACATAAAATAGAGAAAAGGCGTGCACGGACACGCTCGGGATTTGACAACGACGACTCGCTTACTTGGGCTTGCTGAATCGCTTCTTGCTCCTCTTCCTGCTG